TGACATCAGTTTGCTGTATATAAGTATATTTGCTTCATAAATGGTGCTAATTAATGCACTAAAAGCCAAACTAAGATGCTAAATATCGACATGAAGACCTCACAGAGACCGAAGCACCGCTGTAAACGTCTCCGCTCTCTTCACGCAGAGCTGCTTTCCTGCATCCCTCCCTTAGAAGCGATGTGTGTATAATTACAGTCCTCTCCCAGTGAAGCCACATCACTCACTCTTTCATCATCGCCACAGGCCCGCCCACGCCAGCTGATTGACAGGTGATGTCCGGGAAAGCGTGCAGCATAAACAACTCGATCAAGGAAACGAGGCCGTCAACAAATCATTCCTGCTCAAGTTTTCTCGATAACTAGATCCCGCTTCACATCTGACAATAATTAAACGGCTTCAGCAGCAGTCTTGTGATTTCCGTCGTGTCCGGCTCTGCTCGGTCATTTAGTCTGAGAGGAAATGCTGTCATGCAGAGAGAAACCACGCCACGAAGAGCTCGGCGTCTGACTGTGTCTCACACCCTCTGCTCAGCCTCGCCTCTGTCAGCTGCTCATCTCTAATCAGGTCTAATATACTGTATATAAACGTGAAGCACTGTCTTTACACCAGCTATAGATGCTTCAGTTCACGATCTCATCCAGCAGATTGACCTGCAGCTGATGTGCAGTCTGCTTCCTGAACACAGAGACTCAACAGTCTGTTAGAAATGGTTTCCAAACACACAGACATTATTCCTCATCAAGTTTGAGTAAGTGCGGCTTAATGATGCCACATCTGGCTGAGTTTCAGAAGCACAGCACCAGATGTTAGTCTGACTCTGGATCCCAGATTTAAACTTGTGATCAAGTCAGCTGGTTTGGGTTGATTTAGGCTGAAATCAGCTCCAGTGAGCAGCCGACATTTATCCGAGATGGCTCACAGAATCAGTGAGCTCATTCTGGTGCATCATCATCAGCATCATCACCACAAGTCTGGCATCAGTTTGGAGACCGGTCATGGCAAAATAAAGCAAGCATTAGTCCCGTTAGTATTTTTCACCAAGCGCCAATATCTGGGGCTGAGGAAAAACTCCCCAAACCTCTGACAGAGTAGCCCAGTACTGCCTGGCTCTGAGCTGGCTTTGGTTTGGTAATCGTGCACAGTTCCCAGGAGCCTGGTTATTTAGTACCACCTTGCTGGAGATGTGAAGCGAGCTGAGATTATACCAAAAAGTGACGTGAAACACTGCAGGTTACACCGGGGTCACATGCTCTGATGATCAGTCCTGCTTATGCTGAGGACGCGCTGTCTGCCGTGGCAAAGTAAATAAAGTTGAGCTCTTTCTTTAACATGCAGAAATCAGATGTGCACTGCGTGTTCAAAGAGAACCTGAAGCTCAGAGCCGGCGTGTTGTGTTCAAAGTCACAGGAAAGCCCCGATGTCACCCTGGACTAAAGGGAAACTAGGGGAACACCAAGAGTTTCTGTGGAGTTTAGTCTGAAGCTGAGATGAACACAAACACAGACACACTCACTGAAGCACTGCTGCTCTTTCAATTTCTAGCGAGCTGTCAGCGAAGATTCAGTTAGCATGCTGGCTGTTTGCTGTGGATAAACACGAATGTCACCCAGGAAACCTGTAGAAAAAAGCATTTCTGTCTGACAAACATTCGGATATTTGGAGTTATTTTCTCCTGCAAACTGGGAATCTCATCTTCAAATCCACATGTAATTCATTTTAAACTGAATTCCCTGGTTATGGATTATCATGGATGGATTAGCCAGGTCTGTCGAAGGCATTCTCGGAAAGTCATCTGCAAATCAAATCGCACTCAGCGTGTGCCACTTAATTTATGCTTCAAGGCTTTTCTTAATAGGCCAATCAGCAGGTACTTGAAACGTGTTGCCATGGCAATGATCAACAGAGAAAACATGAAAGAATAAAGGGCGGGGCCTAGCTGCTTACCAGC